GTGTGTGTGTGTGTGTGTGTGTGTGTGTGTGTGTGTGTGTGTGTGTGCGCCGGTGTGCCGGTCCTCGTGTCCTGGAAGATTTCAACATCACGGACAAATGGGAGAAATCCCGGTTAGATATTATCTGTGTTTATTCAAGTTTAAAATTAATTGATAGACAGGCTATACAAAGAATGACATCATGAATGCTCAACATTTATGTTTCCTTTCGGTTGGAGCTACGTCATCAGCGATTTCAGTGACTGCATCATTGTCATTAGACCTGCTAGGTTTCAGAAGGGCTGTACCGAGTACCTCGAGGTTTACGTTGGCATTTTAATCCGAAAACAACATTTTTGGATGTTTATTCATTCTACATGAGTCAGTGTTTGTTTGCCCTTTATAAATTCTGCAGCAGGACACCACTTTGCTCTTGAGTGCAGCACGGCAGCCTCGGCATACAGCACGGAGCAGAGGAGAGGCAAAGTGGATTAAACATTGTCATACCGGTTACAAACTGGTAGTTAATGTTGTAGCCTACTATTTGTTGGGATCAGGAGCGTGTTTGGTTATCAGCAAATATGAAAAATAAATTATTGACATAAATATAATTATTAATGTCAATAAAATTATTAACAATTATTAATATTAACGGGGCACCACCCTGAGAACAGGGACCAATAAGGAGTGAGAAAAACTACCCTAAATGGCAGATGTAGTCTAATATACGTCACATAACATAATTTTCTTTACATCTTCTGTGTCTTCACAAGGGCCTTCAGGAGGTTTAGAGCTTGAGGGTTGTGGAAGCATCATTGTAAGTCCTTCCATTTATTTTATTTTTTTATTTATGGTATGTCACAGAAAGAAACATCTTCACAAAATGTTTTAAATGATTGTTCTCTGCAGAAGGACTCCAGTGACTGGACTAAACGTAAACCTGAAGTGAACAGTACAGGTGCAGATGAGGCTCCAACTTACAGGTAAAATATAACGTCCTAACTACTGCGTCACAGCAAACTGGAGCTGGAGGGAAACCAATGCAAAATGAGAAATAGAGTGGCAATACTTTTCACACTCACTCGGTTTCTTTTTCATGACTTAGCCTACAGTCTGAAGCAGGACACTTTGAATGCAGCCTCTCTGGCTTGCGCTGGATCTGTAAGGGAAAGGTCAGCTTTCAGTACCAGTTCAGCTCTGTGGAGGAACACATGGAGAGGATCAAAAGCATGCAATACATGCCTGCAGGTCCCCTAATGAACATCACAGTCCTTGCTGGGAAGTTAGATGAAGTGCACCTGCCACACTGGATCTGCATAGGTAAGTGGACATGAAGAAATATTAACATAAAATCAACTGACTTTTAAATTTCAGACAGCATGTTTTTCAAAAACTGATGCAGTCCTTTTCTCCTCACTAATTGTCTGTGCTTTTATTTTGTACAGATGACAACCCTACGATATTAGACAAGTTTGCAGTCCTGCACATAGATGACTGTGGAGATAATGTGGAAAAAGTGTCTGAGGTCACATCGTCCCATGTCAAGCTGTGTGAACCCGTTTTCTCTCTAAAAATGATCCTAGTGAGAGTCGGCCTTTCAGTGGAAATATATTGTAACGTGTTAATATACAAGACCAACAAGACATTCCTCACACTCCATGCTTATCTGATCCCACGAGATCCTGGTCTAGAACAGGTCATTTTCATATCTTACTTTCAATACCAATAATAATCAGATTTAGCTTGATAAATACACAACACAGATAAC